GTGTGTGTGTGTGTGTGTGTGTGTGTGTGTGTGTGTGTGTGTGTGTGCATGACACAACAGGAACACTGTGATGGGAGTTAACACAGGGATGAACCAAGCCCTCCTCGGTAACAATCCCCTGGCCACTCTCCAAGGTGTGTGTGTGTGTGAGAGAAAGAAATGGGTTTATTTCAGTAGAGTGAAAAAAGAGAAAGCTTAGCATCAGCAGCACTGATAAACAGAACATAATTTAGAGGTCAAGGCTCAGGTGGTGTACTTTATAATTAAATTTCTGGGAAGATCTTAGGGTCACAGAATACATAAATAATACGCAGAGAAGAGTGTTTATTTTCTGGCAATACATTCTCCTCCTCTCCTCTCTCACTTATACACTCCTACACGCACATAAATGCTCAAAGTCAGACACATACTGTGCACGACACATCTCCTCTCACACACCTTCCTACACTTGAGAACAACACAAGAATAGCACAAGAAAAAAATACGCGTACAATCCAGAACTGACCACCAAGCAATCCAGACCACCGTCAGCAGAGCTAATTTTCAATCATACTTTGTGGTGTTGTGATGAGAAAGGGGGCGAGAGACATATTAAAAACAGAAGTGTGATGATGAGTCATACAGTCATGCATGGTCGGTGAATCAAATCGTGCCGGTAGACTGCAGACTGGAGACGCAGATGAATAGGCAGCCGAGGGTGTTTGCTCATCCACAGTACGAAGCAGCTGAGGCAAAGATAGTTGTGGAGAGGAAGAATGACTTATTTCTCATATGTTGCCATCAACATCCATGACTCCATCCCATCAAGTGTGTGAGTGTGTGTGGCAATTATTACGTTAATGCATGGGCTTTAGTTTTTGTGTGTGCGTCTGTGCTGTCTCACTCATCTTTGGCGTTTCATCTCTTCATTTCATCATCGGTGAAATGTGTTGATATGTTGAAATTCACCATAAAATGTTTTAATTAATGCAGATTTAAAAAAAAAAAAAACTTTTGTGGGGCTGTTTATAGCGTTTATTTAAGGTTTTCAGTTTTAACCATCAACTTTGAATATCAGACCATCAGGGTCACAGAGCAAGAGCTACATTTTGGACTCACTATTTCACACCACATTGATGCTAAACACTCGCACACCGAGAAATCAAACACTGAGGAGGCAGAAATAAGAGTTTCTTCACCAACAGTAGACCACAATGCAGTTCAGCCACAAGACATTTGGAGAAGTATGGATGCTTTTTCTTCAATGGAAGAAAAAAAAATTGGGTTTTGCTGTTGCTGTGCAATCACGAACATTACTAGGCTGCGTTCACGTGTAGCATTTTGTGTATGAAAGAAGCGCTGCATGAAGCACTATTCATATTCACTATTCATCGACCTTGTTTCCATAACAACAGACCGCTCATGTCAGCTTACCTGTTGCTGCGGTTTATCTGATCCCACAAGAGTATCTTGGTTCAGATATTAAACAATATTCAAGTATCCTTTTTTGGCAAAGTGCTGGGATTGTATATATATATTGTTTTTTATTTTTTTATTCCCCAAAAACCAGACAGGTGCCTTTTTTACAAAGAAACCTCACTCTGAGCACCTTGAGGCCGCGCCCTGAGTTTTCCATTTAAAATGGGTGGTGACGGTTAAATCCACCTACTTCTGCTGAATTCAACAAGTTCAGGCACTTTCTCTTGCTTGGCTGTGTACTGTAGGACATTATTAACTGAAGTAAAGGTAGATGAGGAAGACTGACAAGAGTGTTGAAATTAAAACACTTTACAGCAAACAACAAAGAGCTGGATGTAACTTATTAATTACAATGAATAAGCTTTTGTTTTCCTTTTGGAAGTGTCTGAAGGAAGAGGAGTAGGGAGGATTGTAAGTTTACCCATAACTAACCTTAGAACGAGGCGAGGAAAAAGGAAAACACAATACAACCCAGTCGGCAGAAAAAGAAAGTTGGCATTTTATGTTTTTTAAACCACACGATATGTTGAATATCAACGTTTCTGAACCAAAAATACCTATCATAAATAAGTTTCATATCAGCCTCGCATCACGCTTGCAGGAATGCACAATACCATGTTGTGGGTTACGTTTAGGAAACAAACCTACTTTGGTAAGGGTGGAAAAAAGATCATGATTTGTGATAAAAGGATAAATTAACATTTTAACGTAACAACCGTAACTAGCATAAATAAATAACAAAAGCCCTTAGCAGACTGTTTTACGTATTACAAAACAAGCCTAGCAGCGTTACTTACCAAGCGTAAAGTCAGCGTTTCGTGCTACTCCTTTAATCTTTTTCTCTTCTTTCTCCCTCCCTCAGCCCTGGCAGCCAGTGGTGGCCAGCTGCCTCTTTCCAGTCTTGAGGGGGCCGCAAAGATGATGTTTGGGGCCTCTGGGGGCCAGGGAGGGTGCCTCCCCTCCTCCCTCTTCCTCAACCACCCCGCCCTTCTCCACTTGGGCCAGAACCCCGGCGTTGGACTGATCAGCGCCGCCCTAGCTAAAGCCTCCCAGGCCTCCCCATTCCCCTTTGCCTGCAGCATAAGCCCCACCCCCTGCTCCCCCTCCCCCTGCTCCAGCCCCGCCTCGTCCTGCTCCTCCAGCGAAATGGCACACAGCCCAACCTCTCTGGGCGGAGCCAAGATTGAGTGACTGCGCCAAGGGCCAATCAGAGAGGAGGAGGAAGGAGGAAACGAGAACCTCGCCTTTCACACCAAAGCTATCTCTTTCTCTCTCTTGCGCTCTTCTTCCGTTATTTTTTTCGCAATGGCTCTCTCTCTCTCTTTCTCTCCCAGTCTTTCGATGCCAAAAATACACAGAATGAAAGAGGAGAGAGGGAGGGAAAGAAGTGAAAGAGGGGAGAAGGGGAGAAGGGGGGGAAAGGGGAAGATTGAAACCAAAAATCTTTATCTATCCAAATAGATGGAGAAGAGGCAACGTGGGACCTTTTTGTCAATAACCCGTGATATCGACATGGCATCTCTCCACTCTGTCTCTCTAAAGGAAAACATACCAATGACTCTTTAGCAAAGAGACGGCAGAGAAGCATGTCGAAGTGCATAAACCAAAAATGACAAAAGATAACTTTACTATGTGACAAACGAATGGCGACAAGGACAAAAAAAAATGGAGAGGAGAACTGTGCTTACGTTTTCCCTTTTTTAATTGTTTCGAAAAAGCTGCAGGTCTGAAGGAAGAGGAGTAGGGAGGATGAGTTTAAACCAAAAATTTACCCAAGGAGGAGGACGTGGAGGAGGAATACACAATGACAAAAAAAAACAAAAAAAAAACGGCAACCATACCAAAATCCCAAATACCAAAAACCAAAAATACGGAGAGAAAAGCTTTATTCAAAGGACGTGTAAATACTGAAGCTATCCAGGACCAGGACTCTACTGCTACTCACACACACACACATCAAGAGCCAATCCATCCTGTCATCAACTCATCCTGTCTGTGTCAGCCCATGTGTCTCTTATCGGTTTTCATGCTCGATATACTGAATAATTTTGTAAAAGATTGTTACTGAACCGGTCAGGAGCTCACGTATGAATGATTGCCTCTGTATCTTCATGTCTCTTTACCTACCTCTGGTTCTAAGAGCATAGGATAGCTTTCCTGTCCCCTTTGTTAGTTCACAAGTCAATGACAGAGGCTTGTTATTCAGTATCTGTTTTTTACTCTTTGACAAGTACAGTTTGGATTTGTTTTTTAAATTATTTATTAGTATAATTTTATACTCCAACTCCTATTTATTGTTGCAGCTTTTTTTTTAGCGCTATAGCTTCTGGGGTTCAAATCATCATCAAGTGTCATCATCATTGTCTTCATCATATGTATTTTTGTCATCAACGTGCATTTTTTTTTTGTTGTTACCGTGACTATTCTGCAGGAGCAGAGATGACGCAGGTGAAGAGATGCTCACCAAGTGCCACATATCCAAAATAGAGTTGGCACGCTGATTTCAAGGTGTGAATGAATTTATTAAGACCTGAACAGGTGACATATTGTGCTGTTAATCAGACCACTCTTTCCTCACTCTTAGAGATAACCCATTATCAGTGACTCCGTGGCTAAATGAACATGCCCTGGAAAACTTCACATACTGAAAATGGCGCTTGTTAAAGAGTGGCGCCCATTTTGAAAGTATGAAATAGGGCTCTGATTGGAGATTTAAAGTAATAACCGTTGAGACTGAAGGCTAAATAAGTCAATAAAGCCAAGTTTAGTCACAGCCGGCTCTCATTCCTGCCTCGTCAATCAGCATAGGCGCCCCTACACCTGTCTGTCTAGACATGTTTACTGATATTTGTCTGTTTCCATCATCACTCCATCGATCACATTTCACTGTCATTTTCCACCTCAGACTGCCATTAATTCTCAAATGGAAACCAAAGCATTCTCAAGGCTGGGCTGTTCTTGAAGAACCTCAGCCAAGACATATGAACACAATAAAGACCCAGAGGGGCTGAGGACAGGACGTAAGCCCCCTGGTATAATACCCTCCACCTGGCCCGTCCAAAAACCCACGGGGAAGCTTTATTTAGGGAACTGATCCTTTACTCCGAACCCCCAGAAAGAAGGGTACACTTTGGACAGGGCGAGAGAGGGACACACTGTAGTGAGGGGAGCAGGCGTCACACTTTTTTTGTAAGAGGATACCAAAAATAAACCCAAACCAAAAAAAAAAAAAAAACACAACCCAAGGAATGACAGAAGCAAACCAAAAAGAACCCTAACCAAATGTGGCTGGAGGGAGGAGGGGAGGAGGACAAAATGCAGGTGTGTCGAAAGACGTGAAGCCGTCTGTCTATCTGTTAGCTTTAGGGCTGCAGCATACGCCCCACTCTGAAACTGTGTAGCATGGAAGGAGGGATGGATAGACAGGCGGACAGAAGAAGGACAGACAATTCCTCCCCTCCTCTGCCTCTCACTCTCTCCAGCTCAGCCCTCTGGTCCTGGATGGAGCTAAACGCAAATGACCTCACTGAACTGAAATCTTCTAAAAAAAAAATCTGTTTTTATTTTTCTGTTGGTTGGTTCTGATTGTTTTATCTCTGCTGTGTCTCTTGATGCCGTTTTATGTACTGTACTTTAGTGCTTATTACTCATTTGGAATAACGTACTCGCTTACTTACTACAAGAGCTCCTTATTTTTTTCGTAGTCGTGCTAGAGATTTTTATCAGGTGGTTGGAAAAAATACTGTGAAAATTTAGCTTCCAGATTTTTATTAGATAAAGAAACAGACTGTCTTGGCAGAAGGAAAAAAGACACACAAAAAAGCCAAAAACAAAGAGTTGAATAGCAAACTGAACCAAATACTGAACCAAACCAAACACAGTAGAGAGGAACAGGAACGGCCTTCTCTGCATGAGGGCACAGAAATGGGTCAATTTGTCTGAGGTGAAACTGTGCGTCTGAAGTGTTAATGGAAGGCCAAATGGTTTTTAAAAAGGAAACGGAAAAGGGTCTGCAGTGATGTCTTGTCATTAACTTTGACCCCAGAGGCGGCAGAATATACACACTTCAGACACAGAATAACACACACACACACACACACAGCAGCGGCCTCAGTCAGGTTGACCGTTTGAGAGTTGGACGTAAACGTATCCAAAGAATATTTGGTTTGATCCACACCAGAAAACAGTCGACACGCGAGAATCGTTTCATGAACCAAACTTTAGATGTGGGGTTTGCACCTTAAAGGTGAAACCTTTTCTCCACATTGACTCTTAGACGGAATGTATCTGTTAGTGCTTCTATAGATTTTGTAGAAAAAAAGATCTATGTTCTACTGCTTACTTATCGCTAATGTATTAAAAAGAAAAAAAAATGTACAAAAAAGACTTTGAGAAAAAAAAAGATCCTAAAAACATTGATGATGATAACTTGATTTTAGACCAAAAATTGTAACTATCTCTCTTTGGAATTTTTTTATTTCTCCTTATTAATGATGATTTAGACTTTTGATTGTACTATTTATTCAGGGTAGGGTTGATTTAATTGCTTGTTATCTTTTTTTTTGCCTTGCTATTTATTTCCTAATTTATTTCTAGAGGTGCTTTTTCTTTTTTTTTTTTTTTGTGTTCTGGGATGTATTTGTGATGTAATTGTTTTTGCCCCCTGCTGAAGTTCTTTCTTACTTCTTTAAACCAAATAATACCACAAATGCAACCACGGGTCCTGTAGGGACTTAATAAGGGAATATGGCTGATTAGATGGTCAGCCATTAAGATATTCTCCTCCTCACTGAGACAACTCTCCTCTTAAAGCGGAGGGGAAGCTCACAGCATTGAGAGGCAGCACTGTGTTGATAAACACCTCATCGTTTGCAGGACTTTTCAAGGGAAAACAATGAATTTGGCAGAGTCATTCTGGACACATGCCTTTGTTTCTCCTGATAATAAGACAGAAAAGGGCAAGTTGAAATTCTGTTTCAATGGAGAACGCATAAATATAGTTTATGTGTGAAAAACTGCCTGAGTTACAGCATGAGGTGTTGTTTGAGACGCGGTGCTGCTTCAGTTCTCTACATTTTCTCCACAGGGAGAACACGCTGAAAGCTTTACAGCTACACAACCAAAAACACAAAAGAAGAAGATCAACTGGGGCAAAGGTTTTTTTTACACGATAGGGAGGAAAGAAGGAGGCAGGAGAGAAGAGGCCGATTTTGGATTTCCAATCGTAAATTGCCTGCTTACCTCTCACACTGTCTCAGTCTCTTTTTCAGTTTTTGTTTCCACTTTTCTAGAAGTTGGTTTCAACTTTTTTCTTCATCCACTGTAGGATGTAAAAGAGAGATAGTTCATCATATACCTCATATTCTTTGATGATAAACCAAATAGATGAATGCTTTAAAATGCGGAGTTCCGGTGGGGATCGGGGTACCGGGATGGTGCGCGTGTGGACGGTGTGTTTGTGTGGCCGGGAGCAGACACAGTACGGCTGGGTCACAGGCTAAAGGTTGTTGCCCTAATGGGGGTAAATGCAGAGGTTTAGAATTGATCTGGGAAGTAACAGATCATCGACTAGATTGCAGTTTTTCTCCATGGGATTCAGAGGGTGCCATTTAAGGTCAAAGGGCCACACTGGTCCATGCTCCGGTCCACACACACACACACACCTGGTCCCCCTGGAAAACACCCCCGCCGTCTGTGTTGAGCTTTGAACACAGCCCTCTCCTCATATCTGACCCTCACTGCTTCCTCCCTGTCAAACACGGACTGTGGGCTTAAAGCTGCTCTTTGGCACAGATCAAGAATCAAATCTGGATCCAATTTTTGGGCTGAAAAAAAGCTTGAAGATTCCTGCCTCAGAGCAACTTTATCACCAAGGTCGCCGAGCCCTCTCTCGCCTTTAGGTGTTCGTTGCCTGATGAGGGGCCTTATTGACCATTTGATGTCCACGTGTATTGGGGAGCGCCGTAGGGCAGCTAACCGGGGAACGGCTGAGACCAGGGTTGCTAGGTGACACATCCAGACACTTCTCACGACTCGGGTGTGTTTTGAGACATTGGAAGAGTGAAGGAGAGGTGTGCCTGTGATCGAACTCTAAGGGTCCATTTTGTTGTTCAGCTCTCTCCGTGCATTCAGAGGAAATGGAAGCAGTGCTCTGCTGCGTTTCTGACCAGGCACTTTTTTTGTGAACCTCAGGGTTTCAGGGACCGGGTGTAAAGTGTAGATCCCTCCGGTGGGGATACCCCCTTAGTGAATGATACCAAAGTCAATGCCCCGCCATGGGATCCAGCACGATGTACACAAATCCCTAAAATCCTGATGTCCACCTGAGTGTTCAGAAACTCCACTTTCCTCAATAAGGCTTAAACGGCAGCAGATTCTTTAATATATCTCTCGCCACACAATCACATCATCTCAACAGGCTCAGAGATGGACATTTATGGATCTAAAGAAGAAGCTTTAAGGAATAGCTTAATATTTGGGGAAATACGGTTACTAATTGGGCTTTTGTACAGTGTAAACAAACTATTTAACATTTACATTTCTGAGCTTTAGAGGTGCTGGTAGGCAGATTTTGTGGTAACCCTGTGGTGTTCCGTACACCGGTGAATGAATCTTTAACAACATATTCAAACTAAACTGTATCTACTGAATTGGTAGCTTTTAGCAGTTGAGCTCCCTTCACTGGTAACTGAGAGCACTGTTTTAAGCTCAGCATTGACTCACAGTACATTACTGCTTGGTTTAAAGGCTTACCAAAAGACACTGATAGCCACATAAATAATTAAGCGGATAACGCTGCTGCGAATAAGTGTCTGCTGATCTATTGATGTCAAAAACAGAGCTTGTATAGGCATAGTTTTGTACTAAAAGTAACAACTTGCCAGGCTAGCTGTTTCCCCCTGTTTCCAGTCTTTATGCTAAGCTAAGCTAGCCATTTCTCAGCTGTAGCTTCATATTTACCGTACAGATCATTTTTTAATCTGCAAGAAAGCCCAAAAATGTCAAACTATTCCTTTAAAATGCAAGAATCAATGCTTGAACTTGATTGAAATCATGTCAAGATAAGAAAAAAAAGGAGACACGGTGAGCAGAGCAGAGAGAACAACAACAAACACAAGCTGCTTCTTCCTCCTCCACCCACTCTCATCCACACCACTCATGCTCTTCTTCTCTTCCATCTTTTTCTTCTTTCTCTCTATCTCTTCTACAATACAGCTTTAGTCCAAAGGTTTCTCCAGCAACACAGCAAAGCGAGTCAGACGTTAAAGAATTAAACCAAAGAGCTCTAACTTGACCTTCTTTTCAACACAAGGCCTCCACTGCATCCTTCACCTCTCTCTGTACATCCTTCCCTTCCTGTTTGCTCTCCTTTAACTCCTCCGTCACCTAGCGAGCCGGTCTTTGAAGCGTTAACCTCAGCTATCCAAAGGGGAATAATAATAATAATGATGATAATTAAGATGATGATGAAATGTATATTTTTAAGTATTTGTCATTGGAAAAATAATCTTCTCATAATTATGATGATCATGATGATGACTACAATGATGATGATGATGATGATGATGATAATGAAGTTTCTCTTGGTATCTTTGTAGCTGTTCTGATCCTTTTTAAGTTCTAGTCCTTTCTGCTCGTGCTGACGGAGAGTACTGCTCTACTCCCATCAGCCCCCCCCCCGCCGTCCTTCATTTGGTTTACCCAATGTTTAGTCCTCACGTCTACCTGTCAGACCTTTACCCCCCGGATGTTTGCCCGTGTGTGTGAGAAAGAGTGAGCTGTCAAACCTTGACCAAGGGAAGTTCAAGATTTTTCTCTGGAAGTGGTTTCTTGTTGGGGGGGCTTCAGTAGTCTATTACATGAGCAGCATATGTGTGTGTGACCGGGTGGGGCCTGCTGGGAAGTGGGCCGGGTGTGGTTCGCTGCAGCAAAAAAAGACAAAAAGATTCCCTGTTCTTTAGAGAACAACAGGCCCTCACACAGGCCGTTTACTGTCAACTGTAACGTCCAGTTTGCCAACTTCCTAATGCGCGTAGCTTTAAATCCCCCTGTCACAACAGTTAGTGTGTGCGTGTATGTGTGTGTGTGTGTGTGCGTGTGTGTGTGCAGGTATGGTTGTACCCCCCCCTCCCCCCCACCAATCCCCATTTCCCTTGCTGTCTCCCCTTCTTCTCCCTTGTGGTAGCAAGTTAGACCTTTAGTGTATTTATCTTGAAAACCAAAAAAACGAAGAAAAATAACTCTACTTGTTCATTGTACAGTGTTGTTCATTTTAAGTCATTTTTGTAACTGAAAGTGTTTCATTCATCCAAATAAAACAGGAGACAAAAACTGTACAGATGATCCCCTTCACCGCCTCTTAGTCTTCTCTGTTCTGTACACCAGTTTTCATCTTGAACCACAGGTTTCACTTGGTTTGGCGAAAGCTCATCTACGAAACACGAAACGTAGCTCAACTTGTCGTGCCACTTTCTAACCAGAGGAGGGAGCTGTTCGACTTGATACCTTTCCTGACAGAGCCCAGAGTAACTACCACTCCACTGATTCTTCTGTTGCTCTGTGACCCTCTCACATACAGGGGTCCACAAGTGTCATGGAAAATGTTATAAAGCGTTAATTAAATAATTAAACCATAGATAACTAAACTTAACAGGTGATTAATTGATACAAAAATGGTTAATGAAAATAATGATTTATAATAATTTACAATTAGATATATTAATCTTAAATAAATAGGAGAAAATAGAATATAATAGTCAATAAATACATTGAAAATCCCTGCATATTCAAATCTATGCTCAGCATCAAAAAAGCAAAAGCTCTGATGGAAATGGTTGAGCCAACCAGCTGCACACTAAAAAACACTGGGTCAAAAGTGATTATGGGTCAATACAGCGACGACTCAACACTGGATTAGCTCTACCTAGAAGACCATTGGGTCACCAATCAAATCAGAGACAATGGATTGTTTTGACCCAACGTAAGTGTTACTTGTTGTATTACTGACGGGTTGCTTACCCAAACTAAAATGTGATGTGGTCTGGAACTGCAATGATTTCCCAGATTGTAGACACGTTGAGTGAGAGTAGCTCATGCAGACAAGGGCTGCACCCTGTGTCCCCACACCTGCAGATAAGATCTCCTTTAGTAGACTTGTTGGTGGGGGTAGAGGAAGAGTCAGATCATCTTCATCTATCCCTGCGTGTATTTTCTTTCAGCCAAGTCAGGGAACATCTGCTAATTGACAAACAGCTTTTCATATGTTTGGCCTTCTCTGATCCGTGTTTGTTTCTCTGTCTGGCTGTTTTGTTGTCTCCTTCCACATTCTCCTTCTCCTCCTCCTCCTCCTCTTCTTCCACCTCTCTTGTTAACTGCCTCTCCTCTTCAGTCTGTCTCGCTCTCCCTCTCTCCCGCACCCCCCCTGCTGTGTGGCTCAGTAGGTGGATGATTAGGTAGGATGCTGGAGTGTGTAAGTGTGACAGCTTTTAGACACCCACCTTCGAGTTGAGTCACGGACGGCGGTGATGAGCATGTGATCCTATCACCAGGGTGACTCGGGTAGATCTGTGTTGCTGTGTTGTCGCATCGATATGTAATATTTCTGCTCAAAGGGTGACCGTTTTCTACAGATTGAGTGCTTTTATTTGTGATACTTCAAGTACATTTAGCTGTAAATACTTTTGTACTTTTACTTAAGATTGTTAAGATCTAAGATTTTTTGTGCAGAAATAGAAATAAAATGGAAATGAGTCCAAATTCCCCCAATGTTCACGCCACACCGCCTCACCTCAGGAAATTTGGACCATACACCATCAATAATACCATCTCAAATTTAAATAAAAAAATATTGTTGCCCAAAATGACCACCACATATACGTTTTTATTTGTTAACTATCAGGTTTATTGAGGTTCATTCTTCACCATGAAAACAGTAATTTCTTAAAGTCTAGTGTTTTTTTGTCCGGTTTGAGCTACTGTAGAAACATGGCGGACCTGCTCCGTATGCAGATAACTGCTCATTATAAGTTTACGAAAACACAACTGTTCTCATTTTCAGGTGATTATACAATAAAGAAAACATATTTAATGATGTTATATTCCATTTCTGCCAATAGAGTTCCCTGAATTCTTCACACTGTACCTTTAAATCAATGTCCACTTATTAGATTTCTTACAGAGCTACTTCTTCCATAACTGCATAATATCTTGATTTAAGTTGATGTTTTATTCTAAGTCAGATGTATCTCACTCTTCAAACATTTATTAGTTTTCTTGTTCATTCCTAAATTAGATAATCACACATGCTTTTCTTAAATAAAGTGTTGTTGCTATGTAACAGCGCTCAGTCAAAATGTCATTCTATCACCAGATGGTTATTATTGGGGGATGCAAATTATTTTCTGTGGGCCTGATGGGGATCATAACTTTCTGCGTGTCATTGTTGGAGGTTGCTTTGACATCATCTTCGAAATGAATCACTCTCCATGACCGTAAAACCACACTGTGGCATAAAGCGGGTAACTGGAGAGCAACATATCTGGTTAGGTGAGGAGTCAGTTATCACAGGAGCAACACACAGGTACCCCGGTAAAGGTGGAATTGGCTACGAATAAGGCCTCACTGTGTCAGTGGTACGAGAAGACAGAGTGCCAGCTGTCAGTTTAACCAGAAACGCTGCCAGTGTGTGTGTGTGTGTGTGTGTGTGTGTGTGTGTGTGTGTGTGTGTGTGTTATTGGTGCCAGTGAGAGACAGTGCCAGCGGTGAAGTGCCACTAGACAGATCTGGTTTCCCTCCATGAACAGCAGTGTGTGTGAGAGAGAGAGAGAGTGTGTGTGTGTGTGTGTGTGTGTGTGTGTGTGTGTGTGTGTGTGTGTGTGTGTGTGTGCCAGTATGAGCTACTGTTGCCTCACCCGTCGACCCCCTGCCCTCTAGCAAAGCCACAGATGGAAAGAGTATTGGTGTATTCTACTCAAACTGTAGTGCATGTTTTCAAGTACTTAACGAGAAAATTAAAGGATGAGTAGCTCAATGAAAAAAGTGACATGATCTTCTCACTGAGAGCTATTTATTTTAGTATAATCCCTGCAGTTATTTCAACTGGTAATTTTCAGGCACCATATTTGTGGAGTGCCTTTTCCAAAACTGTCAGTGACTTCAAGGTGTTTAGGCCAGGGGCATAGTGTACAGTGGGAGGCCCGATGACCCCATCGTCCATCAATCGACTCGCAC